TCTGTGAAATTAACGGTATCGAATTATCCTCAGATAGTGTTGATCGATTTCGCCAGATCTATCGGATGGATTCGATTGGCCAATTTCCTCAGAGAGCATCTCCATCTTTGCTGCTCCTCCGCCGCAATGTTCGTCATCTCCGTCGCTTGCCCTTACTTCATTCCTAAACCCTACATTACGCCTCTTCAGAATTCCCTCATGATTGTTGCTTTCCCTCTTGTTGGAGTAAGGATTCTCGTCTTCTCTAAACTCGCTGAGTTCTAAGAAATAATCGATTTTCTTCTCTGGTAATTAGATTTCAGCATCGCTTGACGCACTTATGGATATAGCTGGAGGAAAAGTGAACATCCATGTTTTAATGGCACTTGCAGCTTTTGCATCTGTGTTTATGGGAAATGCTTTAGAAGGAGGATTGCTTCTAGCTATGTTCAATCTTGCTCATATCGGTGCCAAGAAACTTTTACTCTTTAAGGTTTCTGAAATATTGTTTTAATGACGTGAGCTTGAGTCTATATATTGTGACATTTTCTTCTGCAGCTGAGGAGTTCTTCACTAGTCGGTCCATGGTGGATGTTAAAGAGTTGAAGGAGAGTAATCCAGATTCTGCATTGGTGATTGATATGAACTATGACAGTGAACCAAACTTCATCGATTTGTCATACAAAAGTGTCCCTGTGCAAAATGTAGAAGTTGGATCCTATATTTTGGTAGGAACTGGTGAGGTTTGTGAAACCTGTCTCTTTTTGCTTTCGATTACTTGAATTTCTTAAACCCTTGTTACATTTTTGCGGTTTTAAAAAATCGTAGCGGTTCACCATTGGGTATTTATTTGTGTTTAGATTGTGCCTGTTGATTGTCAAGTCTATCAAGGTAATGCTACCATAACAATTGAACACTTGACTGGGGAAGTCAAACCATTGGAAGCAAAAGCTGGAGGTAGAGTGCCTGGTGGTGCAAGAAATCTGGATGGAAGAATTATTGTGAAGGTATAACATTTGACCAGATGCGTTGTTGGGGTTATTTGGAACTCTCAACCTTATCTCTCTGCAATGGCCTATAATCAGGCTACAAAGGCATGGAATGAGTCGACACTTAATAGGATTCTTCAGTTGACTGAAGAAGCACAGTCCAATAAACCCAAACTTCAGAGATGGCTGGATGAGTTTAGTGAGAATTACAGCAAGGTGGTGGTGGTTTTATCCGTTGCTATTGCCTTGCTCGGTCCAGTTATGTTCAAATGGCCGTTCCTCGGCACCTCAGGTATTGTGATCCTTTCTTCTTTTCTTGAGTTGGGTTACGACTTTTGACTTACTTTGATTTGGTTGCTGTTTGATTTAACAGCATGTAGAGGATCTGTTTACAGAGCATTGGGGTTTATGGTGGCGGCATCACCGTGTGCCTTAGCAGTTGCTCCCTTGGCTTATGCTACTGCTATCAGTTCTTGTGCTAGAAAGGTATCTTACAAGTAATCTATCTAGTCACAGCTGAGTAAACTGGAATTAGCAAATGCTTGCTAGCTCTTTTACTTTCTTGCTACTTGTGATCCTAGTTCAGTTCTGAGGACTTGTTATAGCACTACTATGCATAGATTTTAGGAATTAAAACATCGTATGTGTGCCAACTGATAGTTGTGATGACTTAATAGTGCATATGCCACAACATTGTCTGAATTGTGAAGTGAACATGTCATTTTATTCAACTGAACGTGTTTGTATTGTTACATTTTTTCTCTTTCTTTAAAATCATGTCCCAGCGAGATGAACTCTTTTCAGGTCCGAACATATTCTTCTACCATAAGATTCCAACCATAAAACCTACACAAAACATCGATTAACTCTTGAAGCTTGCACAAAAACTGAAATTTATATTCATATATGTTATGTCTATTTTGCTTTGTAGATATATCTTCACGTGTAAGATGTGCACTTTTTATAGGGAATATTGCTGAAAGGTGGGCACGTTCTCGATGCTCTAGCTTCTTGCCATACTATTGGTTTTGACAAAACTGGGACTTTAACAACCGGAGGCCTTACATGCAAAGCAATTGAACCCATTTATGGGCATGAAGCAGGAAAGAATGCGAGTGTAACTCCTTTTTGTATGCCAAATTGTGAAAAAGAAGCCCTAGCCGTAGCAGCTGCTTTGGAGAAAGGTACCACACATCCTATTGGAAGGTATATAGCTTATTCAGCCTCGGTTTTATTATACGGGTTTAATTATCTCAAATTCTAGCATTATACGAGTCTTTAGACTTTGAGTGTTTGTCCATTTCATCATTAAAACTCTAAGAATAGAGTTGCTAGAATAGAATTAGCTAACTTATATTACTTGTTGTTATAAACAGTTGCAAACCCATCTTTTTGCAGAGCCATAGTAGACCATAGTGTTGGGAAGGACCTCCCTTCTGTTTCTGTTGAAAGCTTTGAGTATTTTCCTGGTAGAGGCCTTACTGCTACAGTTAACTGTATTGAGGTGCAAGCATATTATTTACTAGCTTATGTCTCTGAGTATCTGTGAACCAAACTCTTACTACAACTTTTGCTTTGCTATAGTCGGTAACTGAAGATAGTAAACTTCAGAAAGCGTCACTTGGTTCGGTAGAATTCATTACCTCGCTCTTCCAATCGCAAGACGAGTCTAGAAAGATCAAGGATGCTGTAAACTCCTCTTTGTACGGAAATGACTTTGTTCATGCCGTTCTTTCACTTGATCAAAAGGTAGACCAAAACTCTTTCTTGATTCAAAGTCATGTCAAACCTTTGGCACGCACAAACGTATGAACTTGCAACTCTTTTAACTAGGTAACACTGATTCACCTCGAGGATCAGCCTCGTCCAGAAGTATCAAAAGTAATAACAGAACTTAAAAGCTGGGGCGGACTAAGGATAATGATGCTAACTGGTGACCACGAGTCAAGTGCTTGGAGAATTGCAAATGCTGTGGGTATTGATGAAGTTTATTCCAACCTAAAACCAGAAGACAAACTGAATCATGTCAAAAACATCTCAAGAGATTCAGGTGGTAATCTTCTTAAAAGGTGAGTAATGCTAAGAGAACCATAAGAGGCTGAAAACTGAAGTCGGGTCATTGTTTTTTGTTTAGGTGGAGGTCTAATCATGGTGGGAGAAGGCATTAACGATGGCCCGGCTTTAGCAGCTGCAACTGTAGGGATTGTTCTCGCTCAACGTGCAAGTGCAACTGCTATAGCTGTTGCTGATGTCTTACTGCTCCGAGACAACATTACTGGTGTTCCGTTCTGTATTTCCAAATCCCGCCAAACAACATCACTGGTACTAACTAATAACAAAGGCCTTAAACCAAAAAGAAAAAAAGTAGAAATGTCAGACTAAACCATATTATCATTTCCCAGGTCAAGCAGAACGTAGCTATTGCGTTAACCTCGATTTTCTTAGCCGCTCTTCCATCAGTTCTCGGTTTTCTTCCTTTGTGGTTGACGGTAACCATAAAACTCTACTCTCTAAAGATTTTAAACAGTTTCTCTAAGCTTCCTTTGACCCATATATTTGCATTGGGAATCACAGGTACTGTTACATGAAGGCGGAACGCTTCTTGTTTGCCTTAACTCGATACGCGGTTTAGACGATCCATCCTGGTCATGGAAACAGGACATAGCTCATGTGATTAGTAACTTCAACTCGAGAAGATCCATCTCCCACAGCAATTGCTTAAGCAGTCAAGCACTGCACATTAACCATTATGTAACGTAGCTTTGGTGTTTAAGTTGTTTTTTCTGTCTCATATATGCAGAAGCATCATGAATATAAAATTGTATAGTAAACTATTTGTATGGCTTGAGGTATAGATCGATCACCAATCTCTGTTCTTATGAACACTCTTTTCCTGAAACGACGATTCATCAAATCAATTTCATTTATTCAAGTTTTCGAATGAATTGGCTTTTTTTCTCTGCACCTCATTTCATTGTTTCACAATTTTCCTCTCATGGGGCATTCTTTGTGCTTTTTTTTTCTCTCTCTGTACATTTCAAGATTATTTTCCCGAGAAAATAACAGAGGTGAAAACGATTTGATTCTTTCTAAAATCTCTCTTCTTCTTCATCATCTTCACTCACTCACTACTCGATCTTCCCTACCCCAATAAACTCTCTAAACCCTTCGTTACGTCTATTAGCTCCTTGCACCATACACGAACTTCCTCCTCCGTTTCCACCGCCGTGTCCTCTCTGTAAATCCGCCATGTAACTCCTCACCTCCGTCTTAATCATCTCCTGCACCACCGTCATGAAATCCCCACTAAATCCATAAATCCGTCTTTCTTCTTCTTCTCTCCTCACCGGGAACAGCTCCACCGTGTCTCTTCCCCTGTCCGCCTCCTGAGTCAACTCGTTGACCCAAGGAAGAGATAAACTCAGAGAAGTCGCCGGATCTTTCGCCGCCGAATCAATCACCACTCCACCTGCTCTCGCCGTCGGCTTAAACACATGAGTAGACGGCAAAACAGGTCCGCTTGATTGCTCACTGACGTCAGATCCCGATGGACTTCCGGGACTCATAAATAACCCCGTCGACACAACTCCTCCTCCGCCGCTCGCCGTCCGTTTCAACGGCTGTTCATCCGTTAAATTACCATCATACCCTTCGACGGACATCACACCACCACCACCGCCGCTACATTTCCGCTTCAACGTCGAGTTCCAATGATTCTTAATCGCGTTATCGGTACGACCATTGAGAAGCCGAGCAATCGTCGCCCACTTGTTACCGAACCGCTCGTGAGCGCGAATAATCGTGTCGTCTTCCTCCGCTGAGAAAGCACGGTGCTCGACCTCCGGAGAAAGCTGATTACACCACCGTAACCGGCAAGATTTACCGGAACGTCCAGGGATCGATTTGCTTATCAGAGACCAGTTCCTTGGTCCGTGCTTTTGAACCAGCGTCTGCAACAGATCGTCTTCCTCAGGACTCCATGGTCCTTTGATCCGATCCATTTCTTTCCGGGTCGAACCAGACATCGTCGGATCTTATTTATTTTATTCAAAGACGTTTTAGTTTTTGGAGAAGAAACGATTTT